GCGCCTGGTGCATGCCCATGAAAAAGTTTATTTGAACATAGCAGAGCCATTAGGGACATCTCCAAAGCAAGTGTCTTTGTCGCCTATGTGCTTCCCAATCTGTATGTGAAACCACATTACTGTATGTGCTGTGCCATTCACAGTAAGGTAGTCAAGAATCGTTCTCGTGATGCCCATATGGACCAAACACTCCTACCTCGATTTAGACCTGTGGATGCTACCCCACAACCTCCACCAAAGTGCATGTAAGGAGCCAAGTCTTGAAGGAGTGAAGAAAAGTCCTTTAGGGGAAAAATAAATGAAAATTGTACTTTAAGAAAAAAAAAAAAAAGACAATTATTGTAATCCTAACATACCCCAGACTGATGTAATTGGGAAATTAACAGGCACCTTAAAATTTTATAAGTATGTTTTGCCTGTCTATCTTTAATCTTCACAAAAGCAGAAAATTCACCACCTTGGCCATTTTCCATTTGATGGGCACGTGCAGTACCAATGTTCTATTAGTGTTACATCTTAGAACATGATTCAACAGTGTTTCCTGCTTATATTCCATCCTAAAAATTAGTCAAAGGCCTGATTGGACATCAAAGCAATATGTGAACCAAGGATATGGGATTATCAAAGCAACCTACCTTGTGAAACCAGGGCATAGTCCCTAATCCACACAATTCACCCAATACTGCCCTTCAGAAGACGGGACAGGTCCTGTTGGTCTATCTCCCCATGCTTACTAATCAGAAGCATCTTGCTTCGTATTGTTTTCCTTACTCATAAAATGTGTTCACAGATACCACATACTGCTAACAAAACAGACTTGCAGTTAGGTTTTGGTAAGCAATAGTAAAATGCAATAACTTCTTAAAAGAAATTAAAAGCTAGTTGCTGTTCCTATCTCCTAATAGGACAAAATCAAAATTTGAAAACTTTTCAGTAAACTTTGTAAATTTTCTTAAATTCTGTACTTAGTAGTCATAATTCATTCAAGTATTTATGGAGTACTATGCATCACACTGTTTGACAAAAACTACAGTGAAGGAATAGTGATGGTGCCCCTTTTAGATCAGGAAAATCTTTGAGGTGACATGTGAGAAGAGACTGAATGGGTAGCAAGCTGTGCAAGTCTCAAAGAAAAGAAATTCCCAGCCAGGCAGAGAGAAAATGGAAAAACCCTGAGGTGGAGCTACAACGCAAGGTATAAACTAGTAAACACAATTGTGGTGATGTAATTTAGGGGATTAAACATGTAAACCACAGTAGGAGCTTCGAATTTTGTCCTGAGCATTAAATTACTGGATTGTAAAAAGAATGTGATTTATATTTCACTCTGGTGACTATGTGGAGAAGAGATGTATGTGAGTGTGATTGTGGTGCTGAGTTAAGAGAAGCGAAAAGAAAGGTAAGGAGATTGTAGCAGTGGTCTAGTTCAAAGATGATTGTAGATTGCATTGGAGTGGTAAACATGAAAAATGGTGAGAAGCTATAGATCCAAATACGTTTTTAAGGCAGATCTTGATGGTTTAGATATAGGGTGAGGGAGTTAGAGGGGAAAAAAAATAAATGATGACTCCTCCATTTGTGTCTTGAGCCAATTAATGAAAATGGGAATTCTAGAGAATAAAGTCTGAAGCACTATTGAGCTCTATTTTAGAGAATTGAGCTCTATTTTAGAGAATTAACAATGTTAAATCACATATCTAAATGGACTACTGTTTGAGAGCTCAAAGAATAGATGGTGACCTTAAAGTGGGGTTCTTAAAGTCAAGAGCCTGGATGAGATTGCCTAGGCAGACTGCATTTTAAGGCACTCCCAAAGTTCAAAAATCAAGAGGACAAATGTGTACAGGAAATTAGAACAGGATCTAAAGAATCCCAACTTTTAAGCTAAAATATTTATTAAAATACTGCAATTAAGAAATTATATTGCAACCAATACAACTATTAAAATTCTAGCAGTGATCTGATTTTTTAAAAAAATGCAAATTATGCATTCTAAGACTTTCAAAACAGACTATTCTGAAATAACCGCACAATATAGTCAAAACATATTTATTACTTTTTAGTGTAATTTTGTACACTTCAGTACAAATACAAGATATATCCGTATTTACAGGTATTGAAATCCGTATATTCAAACCCCATATCTAAATACAGCAGTATTAAGTCCTGATGTAAGTCCAAATCAGAACTATAATAGTTCTGATTTGCAGAGTGACTTCCTTCACGCTCTGCCCCCACCCCTGGGGAAATAATCCCTTAAAGCTAAGGCTGTTTAAACAGAACAATAGGTTATTTTTGAAATGGGGTAACAATTCATTCTTTGCAAAGTTTTAAGCACCGCCTTTCCAATATATTACAAGTGTGAAACAGACATATAAAATTAGAAGATAAAATCATTCATTTGGGCTATTAAAAGCATGATATCTTTAAAAAAGAGCTGAAGCATGGGAATTTTCAGGTGTTAAAAATCTGGAAATATAGTCCAAGTTTTAAAATGAAAAGTTGAACTACATAGAAAAAATAGTAGGGAAGCTGGTTCTTCAGGGTAAAGACCCACGTTCTAACAGACCCACCTTCACAAAATATTTTATAACAATAGAGTTTGAATCTGACCCTTTTAAAACAAAAATTAAAACCCTGAGGTTTCCTAGGGGCTATTCATATTTCCATTCTCAAATTATTTGAATCAAGGTGCCCACATATTCTCTGATATTATGTCTATTTTTAGAAACTGTCCCTGGTTACCTCAAGAAGGTTAGTAGCTGGACACCATGTCTGTATTAAAGTGCAATATTTAAAATATTTTTTATAGAATAAATGATTCAAATATTGTAAAAATAGACTACAAAAAATTTAATTTTCTAAGTTTAAAAATTCACCAGGAAATCTCAAATCAGGCATCTTTTATATGAGTTACCATCTAATCAGGAAACCTTTGCCTACCACATAGCAAACTGCTTATTCCTATCCCTGAACCATACAGGACTACAATAAGGGTTCTAGCTTAACATAGTTCTCTTCGGAGTTTCATTTACATGCACTAATCAAGTCCAGCAAATATTAACAATCTCATAGGTATAAACATTTCATGATAACTTAGGACATTTGGTTCTTCTTACATGTTATGCTCAAGTTACAATAAAAAAAAAATTAGTTTCCAGTATCAGATTCTAATTCCTCTTAATTATACTGGAATACCTTTCTTTGTATTTTAGGAAATATAATCCATATTATCTCTTACAGTTTACTTTTTAAATTTTATTTAAAAGTTTGAGCATTATCTTTTATACCTTAAATATACTTAAAGCAACGAGAGCAATTTCAAAATTTTAGTATCCCAAGAATGTAATAACATAATGTCTCACATCACAAAATAAGCCCTTGGTGCTGGCAGTTCTCTGAAAGCACATGAACACATCTGCCTCAACAGGAAAAATAGGCTCTAAAATTGGATAAGATTCTGAAATTAAGATTTTTTTCTGCATAAAGAAACCCTTGTGACTTGATATAATACTGGCAGTGTCATGCTAAGGCCAGCTGACCAATATTTTAACAGAGAAAAAAAAAAAAGCCAAGGTAATTTTATAGTAGCAATAGTTTCTTTTTTTATTTTAATATACTTTAGGAAAACAATATACAAAGCTGAGCTTCTCCACCATTTCCAGCTAACAGTAGGAAGCTCCAATTACACAAATTTAGCGTTTTGTGATGGCTAAGAACAGCAGTCAGCACCAGACTTGAACAGTTAGCTACAACACAAACATCCTTCAAAATGAAATGTCATAATAGCAAGACAGGTAAACCAGGATTAAACAAATGACAACCACTTGGGAAGTGACTTAATCATTCTTGTTGAATTTCATATTTCATTAAATATCTTATACACAGTTCCTGTTCATCTGCTTTAAACGAAACCTTCTTTAAGGACTTATTTCAATTAATTATAAATATTCAACAAGAATAGTTCTGATAAAGAATCCCCAGGTAGTTCAAATTCTAATATGCATTTGACCAAAGGAAAAGAAAAATAACATTTTATTTGTTTTAACATGTTTATTACAACAGATACAATTCACATCTGACTAGCTTTGTTTCCTCTTTCCCCTTCCACAACATGTTCATTGGGCCATTTCCTTACATTTGAGCAATCAATGTAATTCAGCACACACTCACGTCCAGCAGTACTTTTAGGTCCATTCCATTCTTACAGGGTGCAAATGGATTTCAATAATTTATACAAACAAGTGGGTTATGCTCAATCACTGCAATTTTAAGCTACTGTACACAGGAATGAAAAGATTATAGAAAAGTGCCATAGCAACAGTGCCTTAAGAAAGGAGAAAAAAGAGGAGCCTTAAAAAATGGATAAAATCAAATCAAGTATTTCAGAGGAAAATGGAACACATCGGAAATGAAAAAACATTTCTCTGCAAAAAAAAAAAAAAAAAAAAAAAAAACAGAGAAGCACTGCTCTTGATCAGGTGCAAGTGTGGAAATAGTTGTTTCATGATATTTTATACACTGCCCATATGGTTCAAAATTGCATCTCCTTAGACACAGATCGCCTGGCGCTTGCACTGAATTTCTGAAAATGCAAGATTTCTGAATGATAAATTAAACCCCCCCCTCCATTTTTTTTCTTTTCTTAAAAAAGCTAATTTTGCAGACAGGTTTACATGTAAAAGGCTAGGTATTTAGCCACCTCAGCATTAATTAGTTTTGGATGTCTAAGCTCTGTTACACATGGCTTCCCATGGCTTCACTCTACAAAACATATTTACAACGTGAAGAATACATCTACATTAAATCTACATTTCAAGGGTTTTACATCAGTCTTGTCTCTTTCCACTGAATCAATTCTCACAGACCTCAGTCCCCTTGTCATTTCCTTTGCCCAGCTTAACGGTCCAAAGTCTACTTAAATGCAGAACAAAAATGTTAAGATTGGGCAATAGATTTACAGTTCCTGTACTCAAAACCATGTGCAATTATTCACATCTTCAGACCATGAAGGAATTCTGGTTTTTTAGCTTTTCAAGTTCCTTAATTTGTTGTCTCAAAAATAGTATCCTGAAAAAAATAAGAAGGCATTAGAACTGTGTGGTCATATAAATGTTACAGAAAAAACAAACTTCTTACAACAAAATTATCTTTTAAAAAACCAATTACTAGTTAAGACAAAATAATTCAAAACTGTTAAGTCTATAGTTAAGACAATCATTAAATATATTTTACATAATATATTGTACAAGAATGACAAAAGTTAGAATGTTTTCTATTTGTCAAACAATTTCTCAATAATTAATTTGAATATAACGATTGATTTAAAACAGTGTTTACTGTATCATCACACATACACAAAAGCAGTAGATAGTGAACATGAGATAAGCCTATATTGAATATTTTCTGTACTAAAATATAGTAAGTATAATAACGATGGAATTAACTAGGTGCAACAAACTAATTTTTTAAGAATAATTTTCAATATAAATGTAAATTCATAAAAATGGAGCCAAGTCAAGTCCCACAGACATGTATATTTAAAACAAAAAAATAATCCCAAATGCCACAGCTAACCAAATTTCCATAAACTTCATAAAATGTTTCCTATACTGGCTTGATATTTGACTGTGTTTTCTCTTTTAATAAATCGCAATAAGGAATAGTATAATTTCTTAAAAGCTAAATCATCTGTCTAGCAAGCCAAAATGAAATTAAACTTTATGTAAGATTTCTATTCAGAGCAATCTTAGAGTAAAAAAATCCCAGTTGATATTCAAAAACTGCCTCCACATATTTTAGAAACTGAGACATAGATAAAAACTCAATTTTTCCAAGTGTACTATAAACCCCAACTTGGTATTTTACTAAATATGCGTGGTTTCATGGGAAGTTTAACTCTACTTTATACAAACAGGATGTGAAGCCATTTAAAGTTTGTCTTCAATTTTGTACCAGGTGTTTAAAAAATGAGACAATAAGAGTTTAGGTGAAAACAAGTGTCATTGAACCAGCTGAAAACTATATTCCTAATGTTATGTCCAAGAATCTATTGATGATACCAGCATAATGTAAATAGTAATATAAAATTTCAACTGAAATAAATACCCTGGGCAATAGTTAAGTCCCCTCAATTCAAGAGTGACCTTTTATAATTAGTTGCTGTCTAACTTCACTTTTTAAGTAATTACTTCAGTCTGACTTAAGATATGTAATTCTAAGAAACAAAAATTATTCCAGCAAAAAACTTACCTTTGCTCTCTCAAAGTTGCTTGAATTTCACATACTCGGACTAAAGATCTTAAATTTTTTAATTCAGTACAAATTTCTGACATATGAACACTCCCCATGTTATGGGCTTCTTCTCGCAATCTTGATGCCTATAATTACAGAAAACCACATAAAATATAAGTCACATATAAAAAATAAAAATTAAATTTTCGAGGAGAACTTTACACCAAGATTGCAGACTAATCATTTTCCTATAAAGCCACAGAAATGCGAGAGATTAAAAAGAGCGGCAGAGTAGGAGGATGCTGTACAAATGAACAAGCTCCCAGGAACAAGCTGGAATTACAACTGAAATATGGAAAGGCTTCATGAAGAATCAATGAAAAACTCTTGCAGGCAGGAGAGAACTCTGATACCCAAGGACCAAGGGTAGAGACTGCATAGAGACTGGTAGGAGTAGCAGAGGTGTGAAAGGGCTGGCTAGGCACCCACAGACAGCAACTTGAGTCCTGGTGAGATATCTCAGCGGTGGAGGGGGCGGAAACAGTGGCACTGAGAACTCTGGGATCTAATCCCCAAACTGTGATGCCCAGCAGAGAGCACCAAACTGAGGAGGGTAACCACATTATTTCTAGCTATGAAAAGCAGTGGGGTGCTATCTGCCAGGGAGTGGCAGCTGAAAATTTGGGGGTACCCTCTTAAAGGGCCAATGCACAAAAATTCCCTGTGGAACCACCTACGTTGTGCTCTTGCAGAGGGAGGATGAAGTGGACTGCAGTTGTGAGAGCAGAACCCAAGACCGGGGACTCGGGGTATAGAGCTAATAAGGCAGACACCCCAAAGTTTCCTGGGCTGAGTCATTCCCTCACACAGCAGAGGACATCCTTCCCACACAGACATTTGCCTGGCTGAGAAGACAGTTGACACATCCTATGGGAAAACATCTCGCCCTGAGGCACTTATAAGATTAAAAGTAACAATTAGCCTCCAGACAGAAGCAACTCGCTTTATGCCCCACCCTGTTGGAGAAAAACAACAACAACAAAAAACCTCACACCTGAGGATGATTGCCTGAGGGGCAATTCAAGTCAGAAATCCTATTAGTCTTCAGGCAGAGGCAGTCTCTAAAGGCTTTGAGTCTTTGCCCGATCTAATTAGTCCTAAACAGCCTTTAACAGTCTTGGGCTAGAGATTTGAGAGGAACAGAGGACCTACTAAAAACACAGCCACAAACCCAGACAGACAACTAAAATGAGGAAACAAAGAAACAACCTCCCAAATGAAAGAACTAGCAAACTCTCCAGAAGAAGAGATAAATGAAGCAGATATAAGAAATTTAAAACAGTTTGAAGTAATGATATTAAAAATGCTCACCAGTATGGAAAAATATATAGTAACTATGAAATAGTCTGAGATAAAGAATGACATAGCACATATAAAGAACACATTGGAATTGTAAGGGGAAGCTAAGGACTGAATCAGTGAATTAGAAGACAGAGTTGAAAATATCACTCAATTGGAGAACAAAAAACAAAACAAAAAAACAATTAAAAAACAGGAGGACATCTTAAGGGAGCTGTAGAACTACATGAAACATAATAATATTAGAATAATAGGTGTGCCAGTAGAGACAGGAAGTGAGAAAGGAATAGAGAAGGTGTTTGAAGAAATAATGGCTGAAAAATTCCCTAACTTGACAAAGGAAAAAGTCACACAAGTTCAGGAGGCACAGAGAACCCCAACAAGAAGTACCCAAACAGACTCACATCCAGACACATAATTAAAAGGCCAAATATTAAAGACAAAGAGAGAATCTTAAAGGCAGCAAGAGAAAAGAAAACTGTTACATACAATGGAGTTCCCATAAGGCTGACACACCTGATTTCTCATCAGAAAGTCTACAGGCCAGAAGGGAATGGCATGAAGTCCTCATGGTAATGGAAAGCAAGGATCTGAGACCAAGCTTATTATATCTAGGAAGGCTCTCATTAAAATAGATGGTCAAATAAAGAGCTTCCCAGGTGGGGGAAAAAAAAAAAAAAAAAAAGGCTAACGGAATTCACCACCACCAAGTCATTATTACAAGAAATGCTAAAGGGATTGTTGTAAAGGATTCCTAGGAAGAAGAAACAGAAAAAAACCTAGCCATACAAAATTAAAATGGCTATAAATAAGTACCTCTCAAGAATAACCCTAAGTGTAAATGGATTAAGTGCTCCAATCAAAAGGTAGTTGAATGGATAAAAAAATGTGACCCAATTATATGCTGTCCACCTCAAAACAAAGACACACACAGGATGAAACAGAAAAGATAGAAAAAAATCTTCCATGCAAATGGAAAAGGAAAAAAAGCTGGTGTAGCAATTCTCATATCGGACAAAATACTTTAAAAGCATCATGCTAAGCAAAATAAGCAAGTTGAAGAAAGATAAATATCATATAATCTTACTCATCTGTGGAATATAATGAACAACATAAACTGATGAACAACAATAGATCCAGAGGGGGAGGGGAGGAAATTATATATTAGAATATGATAGAAGAAATCCTGGGTGTTTTTTAGTTTTTTTTTTTTGCAGATTTTTAATATTTCCTACAACTTTTGATATCATACTATATTAGTAAAAGTTTTGGTAATAGTATTATACTTAAAATCCTTTTATTCTTAAAATAGTAGTTTTATGTATGTAACATTATTTAAAATAGTTTTGCTTGGAAAAAAAACAAAACTGAGATGAACAAACCAACCCACAACATTGCTAGGGAATTTAAGGGCAAAATTATTTTCTTTAAAAAACACATGCAAAAAACAAAACAAAAACAAAAAACCCACAAACACACACACACACAAACTCTCATATGGTGGAAGATACTTAGAATAGTATACCCTTAGGATAGGATGATTCATGATATGTCACCAATAAAAGATGCTGGGTCAGTTATAAAGCTGATAAAAAGGCCTCACTGTATTCCTGTATCATTATACACAACTAAGTTCTCTATGTGAACTTAGAGAACATTTCAGATGGTCAGTTATCTAATAAAAGGGAGAAGTCCATGGCAATAATTTCAATGCCTTAAGTGTCCAGATCCTAATACAAAAATGTTTCTTAAATTCTAACAGCTTAGTCTAGTGAGAGAATCATAAGGTTAAAGCACACATCAATGGGGTGATTTTGGTATAATTTATTTGGCCTTAAGGGACTCCCTGATAAAATAGGAAAACTCATATGCACTAGTTAATATATATATATTTTAAACCTTTTCCATTGATTTTTAGAGTGGAAGAGAGAGGGAAAGACAGAAATAACATTGATCTGTTGCCTTCTGCATGAGCTCAAACCAGGGTTCAGGCTGGGGAGGAATCTGCAACCAAGGTACATGCCATTGACTGGAATTGAATCCAGGAGCCTTTGGTCCACAGGCTGACACTCTACCACTGAGCCAAACCTGCTATGGCTCGTTAGCAGTTTTAAGTGGAAAAAACAAAGCACTTGGTACACAACAAAATGCTTAGTACTTGGGGGCTACAATGATAATTATATTAAATTACTTTATGTTAAACCAATCTCTAGGTAAGTATATATAAAATATTTTATAAAATAGACAACCTATTTAGAAATTAGTTGCTTTAAATATAGCTTGAATATAGCAGTCCAGATCAGATTTCTTAAAGGTAGAATTTAAATTATATATTTTAGTTATCCAAAGGTAAAACATCTACTGTGAATCATGTAACATACCTGCTTTTCTGCATGATCTGCAGGCCATCCTTGAACATGTTTTATGAGATTTTCATTGAAATGTGCTGCTAGCGTAGGTGTTAATGAGCATGTAGTTCGGGTAGATGAATTCTGTGGTACTACTGCTGCATTTGATGCATTACTTCCAGAACTATGATTTGGACCAGGTGATGGACTTCTCTGGCTACTGGAAGAGAAAACAGAATTGAATGTGTAGTATATATCTACAAACAGTTTTAGGGTTTCTTAGATATTGTCTGTCGGTACCTTCCATTCAAGATACCCAAATACCTAAGAAAAATGTTATTTTAACACAGAGGCCTGGTGCCAGCCTGACTGATGCCCAACTACTCTTTGCCAGCCTGATTGCCCTTAACTGTCCTCCCCTGCAGGCCTGGTCCCCTCCAACTGCTCTCCCTAAAGGCCTGGGTCCCTGCCAACTGCCCTTCCTTGCAGGCCTGGTCCCTTCCAACTGCCCTTCCCGGCTGGTTTGCCCTGAAGGGTGTCCTGGATCAGGGTGGGGGTTCCCTTGGGGCGTGGAGCAGCCTGGGCAAGGGGCTTGTGGTGGTTTGCAGGACAGCCACGCCCCTGGCGCTCAAACGGAGGCCCTGATATCTGTGATTTTATCTTTTTTAATTGAAACTTTGTATCCTTGAACGGAGGCCAGAAACAACCAGAGCAGGAGGAAAGCTTGGCTTCTCCATCGCTGCGGGCAACTCAAGCCTCCTGCTCGCTTTAACTCTGTGGCCACCATCATCTTGGTTGGGTTAATTTACTCCAATTGGCTGGTGGATGTTTCTCTTTTCTTAGTGTAGAAGATTAACAGAATTTAAAAATTCTAATTACATTTATATAATATATTCCTTAATATTTTTTTGGGGGGAAAGCCCCTTTAAAACTAATGTCAGAGTCAAATTTAAAATAACACTATTCTCCAAATTTGACAGCAAAACCTTATGACTTTGTATACTATAAACACTTATAAGAAGGTCACCAAGAAATGGTTACATTTTTTTTGTTTGCTTGTTTTATTAATCTTCACCCATTTTTCCCATTGATTTTTAGAGAGTGGAAAGGAGGGCCAACCCTTTAACAACTGAGTGACACCAGCCATGGCTACATGGTCACATTTTAACAATTATAGATACAATGCACACATGAATATTATATCTTAAATACATGTAGATAAGGAGGGGAAAAAGATATATTGCTTTTGATTAACATCAGAACAGAGTACTGAAACAGAGGGTAAAATAATGAGAAGCAAAATACAAGCATTTTATTGGATAGCAATGAATAAGTTTAGTGGCAAAATAAGACCAAAAATGGAACACTCTGAAATTGGTTATTTCTCTTATTTTTAAAAATTATTATTTTTTTTATTGATTTCAGAGGAAGGAAGAGGGAGAGAAGAATGGAAACATCATGACAAGAGAGAATCATGGATTGACTGCCTCTGCAAGTCCCCCATTGGGGATCGAGCCCCCAACCCGGGCATTGTTGTGTCCTTGACCAGAATCGAACCAGGGACCTTTCAGTTCGCAGGCCAATGCTCTATCCACTGAACAAAACTGGCTAGGGCTATTCGTTTAAAACTGTATAGCTTAGGCTAGGGTTTAGGGATAAGGTGGTGAGAATAAAAAATGTAGTCACCCACGTTGGTTATTTCCTACCTGCTTCATCAGACTTGGCTCTTAATGAATTTCAGTTATTTCCAAAAACTCAGTCTCCCAAAGGATGAAGAGTTTTCATCACTGAGGATACTTAAAATAATACTGCAGCCTCTAAAGACAATTTAAAAGAAGAATTTCCCAAAAATGTTCTGAGCAATAGCAACATTGCTGGAGTAAGTACACAGCTTCCCAAGGAGATGTTTTGAAGGGGACAACTCTCATTTGGATGTGTTAAGTTCTTAACAGTTGAATTATTTTGCCACCTCATAGCAAGAAATAAAAACAGGAAAATCAATCAAATGAAAATCATTTAAAGTTGTATTTGTTCATTTAACAAAGAAAAGTGACAACACACTACAGCTCTATATGACAAGTAATCCTTATAGGAGCAGAGTTGAAGTTAAGAGGAAAGCTTGACTAATACACACCATTGGCAACACCAGCCCAAGTTTTAGATGTGAGATTTCTGGAGTCATCAATACACTCCAATCTAAAACTGCTATGAGGAGGTTAAAAATGTCTCATTTCCAACAAATAAAGTATTATATAACCATGTGCCCTCTTTGTACATGTTTTACATATTGTTACTCCCATCATATTCTACTAAGTGAAATACTAAAGAAAAGAATGACCTTTCTCAAAATAACCCAGGCTTTTCTACCCAACAATCTAATTGCTACAGACTGCCTTTGTAAATTTAGTAATACATAAAAAGAAGTTAGGTTATCCATAGATTCTTTCAAGATCAAATTCTATCACATAGTAGTATATATATTTATAATATTTGAACAATGCAGTATGACATATTAAGGAAAAAATGTCTCAACACATAACATCAACTTACTTTGAGCGCTGAAGATTTCGAGGGGAAACAGGATCGTGACCTTGTGGTTTGTCAGCAATTACAGGCTGCTGCTGTGTGGCCGATTGTGAAACTGGTCCTTGCTTAACGATAGGAGTAGTAACCTGAAATGTCAGAATCTGGTGAGACAGAGTTCTATCACAATGACAAATAGCAGGGAAACAAAATCAAAGCAAAAGTTCTATCAATAAAACTTCCCAGTTACATTCATTCTTCAGTGCTTTTGAAGATAGAGTTGTCCTAAATTGTTTCATAATTAGAGGCCCGGTGCATGAAATTCGTGCACTTGCAGGGGGTGTGTATCTCAGCCCAGCCTAAGCCCTCTTGTAATCTGGAAGCCCTCAGGGGATGTCCTGATTGAGCAATTGCCCCCTGGTGGACAGTGCAGGTCAAAGCCAGCAGTCATTCTGCTGTGGGTCTGAAACCAGTTCTCTGACATCTTCTAAGGGATCCCAGATTGCAAGAGGGTGCAGGCCAGGCGAAGGGAACCCACCAGTGCACAATCAAGGCCAGGGAGGGACGTTGGCCAGTGGGGGGAACCATCAGAGGGCTCCAGGGAGTGTCCAGCCCATCTGGCTCAGTCCTGATCAGCCAGACCCCAGCAGCAAGCTGACCTGATCAGAACGTCTGCCACATGGTGGTCAGGGCACATCATAGCAAGCAGTTAAACAGCCTTAGCATATCATTAACATATTACACTTTGATTGGTTGAACAATCAACTGGATGACCAGACACTTAGCATACCAGGCTTTTATTAACAATTGACATTAGCAATATATATAACAGTCTTCCTACCTATCCTCAGGGGAGATGATCCAAGACCACCCCCCACCCCACCAATAGAGGCCTGCAAACCACATATATAGCAGGTCCTCAAATAACATCATTTTGTTCAATGTCATTTCATTAAAAGTTGACAGAAACATAACTCTTGTTTTATATCAATTAGACTACAGTAAAAGTGGTTTCATTAAATAACCAATTGACTATGTTAAGCAAGTAATACTGTTTATACTGCTTTTTTCTATATGTGCATATCTATGATAAAAAGTTTAATTTATAAATCAGGAATGGTAAGAAATAAACAATAACTAATAATAAAATAGGATAATTATAATATATTCTAATAAGTTATGTGAATGTACAACCCCTCTGGTAATTGAGATGGCTACTAAGTGACTAAATGGCCAGGTAATTTATACAACATATACTGGACAAAGGGCTGATTTAAGTTCAGGGTTGGATGAAATAGGATAGTGATCTCAGAATGGGATGCAATTTAACTTGCAAAGTGTTTATTTCTGGAATTTTCCATTTAATACTTTTGTTTTTAGTTTTTATTTATTTTAGAGAGAGGAGTGGAGAGAAAAGGGTGGAGGAAGAAAAGGAAGGATTAGATGAGAAGGGAGAGAAACATTAATTTGTTGTTCCTCTTATTTATTCACTCACTAAAGGTCAGGTGTATGAAATTCGTGCGCAGGATGAGGGGCGGGGGGAGCAGAGGGTTCCCTCAGCCCGGTCTGTACTCTTTCCTATCTGGGACATCCCTCTCACAATCCTGGATCACTGGCTCCTAATTGTTCACATGCCAGCCTGCTTCCCTTCCTGGTCGCTCCTAACTGCCCAGCCCCTGGCCTGATTGCCCCTCACTGCCTTTGTGTGCTGGCCTGATGCCCCCCACAACTGTCCCCTCCTTGTTGACTTGGTTGCTCCTAACAGTACCCCCTCCAGCCTAGTCACCCTTTACTACGCGCCCCCCCCGTCCCCCCCCCACTGGCCTGGTCACCAACTGCACCCCCTGCTGGCCAGGTCACCCACAACTGCCCCCCCTCCCCCCTCCCGCGAACCGGCCTAGTTGCCCCTCACTTCGTCCACCAGCCTAATCACCCCAAAACGCCCTGCACCTCCGATGGCCTGGTTGCCCTCAACTGTTCGCCCCCCGCCTCCCCCCAGCCTGGTCATCCCTAATGACCCTCCTGCTAGCCTGGTTACCCCATGCAGCCTGCTATTCAGTTGTTTGGTTGTCCCTCACTAACCCTCCTGCCATCCTGGTTGTAGGCAGCAATCTTGTGAGGATGTGAGGGTCAATTTGCATATTACCTCTTTTTTATATAGGATTGGTTGATTCTTGTATTTGCCCTGACCAGGCATCAAACCTACAACCTTGGCACCTTGGCATGTCAGGACCACAGTCTAACCAACTGAGCTACCCAGCCAAGGCTCCATTTAATATTTTGAACAGCAGCTAACTGTGAATAATGGGGGGAGGGGGGAGGAGAAAAGAGACAAGGGAGAGACACTTTAACTACTTAGTTATATAAAGTACTGTCACTTAGGTCCCCAAATTCACATAACCCTCCAAATATAGGTACCGTATTTTCCGGCGTATAAGACAACCCCCGAATTTTACAGTTAAAACTGAAAGAAAATTAAGCCTTTGGTTAAATATGAGCTGTTAAAAATTTTCCAGCGTTATATTCGCTGTATAAGACTACCCCCCACTTCCGAGGCAACGCCAGTTCTTTTTTTAATTAAATTTTTAATGAATGACCCTCGATTTTCGATTGACTTTTTTTCATTTTAAAAGTCATCTTATACGTCGGAAAATACGGTAATAAACTTAAACACCATAAAATCTAGAGATTAAAAAATATAGAATGAGTTTCCAAAGATCATATAGTTAGAAGAGAGTCAAGATTTGAGACCTGAATCTAATTTCTTTGTACAATAAAATGGTCATAAAACTACCAGGTGTACTGGTTAAACATGGTAATTTTAATAAAAACATCAAAAGTGCTTTATTCAAAGTAATGTCCATCATTGCTGTGTTTTACCGAAAATAAGACATCCTCTGAAAATAAGACCTAGCGCATGGAAAAATAAGACATCCCCTGAAAATAAGACCTAGCGCAACTTTGTGAGAAAAAATTAATATAAGACACTTTCTTATTTTCAGGGAAACAGGGTAGCTACACATTTCCCCCATCCTTCAGGTAATTTGTGGATACTGTCTCAATAGAACTTTTCTTGCTTTGAGGCAAATCATTCAGAGACCCAGTTTTCCACTTCTTTTGAGGTGCTGCTCAGAAAGTGCTTGTGCCACTGATTGGAACAAGTGGTAATCTGAAAGAGCAAGGTCTGGTGAATATGGCAGGTGGGTTAATACTTCCCAGACAATATCTTTTTGTGTCTTTAACTGGTTTTGAGGTGTGTGATGGTGCGTTTCATGAAGCAAAATTATTTTGCTGTGTCTTTTGGCACATTCTGGTCATTTTATATCGCCAGAGGGTCCCAGGCTGCGAGAGGGAGCAGACCAGGTCAAGGGATCCCATTAGTGCATGATCGGGGCTGGGAAGGGACCATGAGGGGGTTGGGTTCTGGGGCGTGTCCGGCCCATCTTGCCCAGTCCCTATTGGCCAGACCCCAACAGCAAGCTAACCTACCAGTCAGAGTGTCTGCCCCTGGTGGTCAGTGTGCATCATAATGACTGGTCAAATAGTCAAATAATTTAGCATATTAGGCTTTTATATATATGTAGATTTTCTTAAGATCTATGAAACACTGAATGTCCACTTATTTTTGAAAATAACTTGAAAAAATTTTTGAATGTAAAAAACTGATATAAAGTATTTGAAATGCTAATTTTGACAATTTACTGGTTTAGCCATCATTATTCACTTTTAGGAGATCATCCTGGTATAAGTTTTAAGCATTAAAAAAAGAACTAAAATCTGGCCTACTATCAACTTCAAGCTATGTTTTGTTGAACCTTTCAGCTTTGCTTACGATGTTATTTGAATAAAGAATTCTTTGGCATAAAATTTTAAACAGCTCATATTTAACCGAAGGCTTAATTTTCTTATCTTTTAATTGAGGCAAATATTCGATTCTCATGATGTGGAAGTTAAATATAATACATACAAAGCTCTTAGCACAGAAACTGACTCATGTGTGGAATGAAAGTACAGGGGAAAAAGACATAAAAAACATGTTTTCTCATATCTTTTAGAGTTTGAAAATTCTACAAATATTAAGAGTCAATTATTAGTATACCCCTTCTTTATCTAGCTCTCCATGTCACAAATCCCAAAGCCAGTAAAAGTATCAGTGCATAAAAGTAGCACAGATGTAATTTCCTTCTCTATCCATCAATTAACTGATTCCAACCTGCATCTATTTGTACTTACCTGTCATTCACTCCACTTCATTCTCCCAGTGCTTTTTCTATAATAGATTCTAAAACATTATAAAATTAGCTTTTCCAAGTTTCTTTTCTAAATTTCCCTCAAAGACAACATACCTTTGGTTGTGATGAAACAGGAGGAGTACTAATCAAAGGTTTGATAGGGACTGTGTTAGTTTGAGGTGTGCTTATTCTTGGAGACACATAGGATCTTGGGGATGATGCATCAGACGTTAAAGACATTGGAGACTGATTAGATGGCTGGGCTGCAAAATTATGAAGCAATTAAGTTCAAATAAATAAAAACATATGTTTGGAGAACTTTGCACCTCTCTACCTGCCCCCCCCCCCCCAACCCACTTCCCCCTCACCTCCACTACCCTGCTAGAAAACACTCATCTGAAAAAGTCAGAATGTAAGATACTCACTGGGGGCCACATTTACTAAATGAGCTGTGTGTTACAGATTAAGCACACACCCAGTGTGGTCCTTTCTTTTTAAGGCTGGACCTATTCTTACATGTAAGGTATTCTCACCATTCTTATTTCTTATTCTACATTTAAGGTCCATTTTCCCTTTAGTCTCCTGCCTCATTAGGCTAACTAGACCATTGTAAAAGTCTTCCCACTATTATACTTCAATTTTAGACTAGTTATTCCTGCTTAATTTATTAGCTTTTTGAGTTGGGGATAAGGGAGAAGTGAAAGTGGCCCTTTTATTTCTCTTTTGTTCCTGTATTTATCTCTTTCCATTAAAAAACTTCATGGAGGCTCTAGCTGGTTTGAGTCAGTGAACAGAACATTGGCCTGAAGACCGAAAGGTCCCGGGTTTGAATCCAGTCTAGAGGACGTACTTTGGTTCAGGCTTCTCTCTTGAATTTTTTATAATGACTAATTTTTTTAAATGAATTTTTAAAAAATTTTTTAAATTCTCCCAGACAAATCAAGATGATACTTCTGAATATAAAAAAACTTTTTATAAAGTACACTAGAGGCCTAATGCACCGATTCATGCACCGGTGGGGTCGGGGGTGTGGAGGCGGCAACCAATGTGTTTCTCACATCAAAATTTCTGTCTTTCCCATTCTCTTCTTCTCTCCCTAAAAATAATTGGAAAAATATCCACAGGTAAGGATTAAAAAACCAAAAAAACAAAAAAACTTCATGGGAAAGTGGGATAGTAGCTACTTAAAAGATACACTCAACATTTCACAAAAATTGAGGGCATATAATAATTTGCTTTTAGCTTTGAAATAAAAATATCTCATCAGCAACATAAATTCAGCATGAAATATATACTATTTTATAGAGTTGATAGCAATTATAAGATGTCAAATCTTGTTTCATCTAAAAGAAAGAGTAAATAAAAATACTACTCTATATATCGTGATGAAAAAATCAAGCATAAAATAATTATTGTAGTAAATCAGCTCAAAGACTAAAAAAAAAAAAGGAGAGAGAGAATAATATCTAAGAATATGCATACCTTGTGTAGAGAGCTGAGCAGCTTGAGAAATCAGAGAAGTTAAGTTGAAAGCTGATGGTCCAGCAGTAAGAAACTTATGGATTATAGACTGCAATGATGCTTGTGTCACAGCTGCTGTAAGAACTAAAAACATATTGTATCGTAAATTCAAATAAAACAGAAGCAATAGTAACAACTTGAAAATCAAAGAACTAAGACAAAACGGGAATGTTTCAAATCAGAACTCCCAAAATAAACGTCTATTACATCCTACATAATAAAGTCTGATATGCAAATTGACTATCACTCCAATACACAAGGTGGCTGCCCCTGTGTGGTCAAATATGGCCACCCCCATGTGAACACAAGATGGCCAGCAGGGGAGGACAGTTGTGGGTGATCAGGCCAGCAGAGGAGAGCAGTTGGAAGGGATCAGGCCTGCAAGGAGGCAGTTGGGGGCAATCAAGCCTGCAGGGGAGGGCAGTTGGGGGCAATCAGGCCCGCAGGGGAGGGTAGTTGGAGGTGACCAGGCCAGCAGAGGAGAAAAGTTAGGGGTGACTGGGCAAGCAGGAGAGGGCAGTTGGGGGAGACCAGGCCTGCAGGGGGAGAACAGTTAGGGGTGACTAGGCTGGCAAGGGAGGGCAGTTAGGAGCAATTGGGCCATCAGGGGAGGACAGTTAGGGGCAATCAGAATGGCAAGGGAGGGAAGTTAGGGGTGACCAGAACAGCAGAATAGGACAGTTGAGGGTGATCATGCCTCCAGGGAAGGGCAGTATGGGGGAATGAGGCCAGCAGGGGAAGACAGTTAGGGGCAATTGGGCTGGCAGGGGAGCAGTTAGGCGTTGATCAGGCTGCCAGGGGAATGGTTAAGGGGTGATCATGCTGGCAGACAGAAGCGGTTAGGGGCAATCATGCAGGCAGGCATGTGAGCAGTTGGGAGCCAGCAGTCCTGGATTGTGAGAGGAATCCCAGATTGGAGATGGTCCAGGCTGGGCTGAGGGACACCCTGCTTCTGTCCACAAATTTCATGCACTGGGCCTCTAGTAAGAGGAATATAATGGGTCTAGAGATATGAAATGATCTGAGGCAGAGGACAAAAAAATTTAATCAAACTACAATAAATGAAAAGAATAGTTTCCTTTACATTAAAATTCAGATATTCAGTTCAAGAAAATTCTTCTATGACACTTTTTAAAAAACAGGAAAATGAGTATTCACTGGAACTTCTAATCACACTATAAAAGTATTCATATATAAGTAAAGTATAAGTATGTTACTTAGAATTAACTGGATAAATGTTAACTATTTAATGAGATTGCTTTTTCAGACAAGCTTGACACTAAAACCCTAAATCAACAATCTTTTATAAGTGGATATTAAAAGGATATTAAAACAATGGGCACTTATGTACTAGTTGGTTTGGCTCGTTGGATAGAGTGTCAGCCCACAGACTGAATGGTCCTTGGTTCAAAGACCATTGGTTGCAAGGACATATACCTTGAATCCCAGCCCTGGTCAGAAAGCATGAGAAAGGCAACCAATTGATGTGTCCCTCTCACATTGATATTTCTCTCTGCCTCTCTCCCCTTTCTACTCTCCCTAAAAATCAATGGAAAAATATCCTTCAATGAGGATTTTTTTAAAAATCACAGAAAACAAAACAAAAACACACACACCTGGGCACTTAGGAAAGCCACGTTTTCCAAAGTATAAGAGCTTTTATTATTGACATTTTCTAATGCCATCATTTCTTCAAACTATTTAAAAGCCCCACTTTGCCTAGTAAAAATATCCCCTATCAAACAAGAAAATGGCATGGTTACCTTAGAGAATAAAAATGATAATACAGAAAAGTTGAGGACAATAAGACCATAAGGTTAAACAACTATCCTGAGATATCCACTAAAATAAAGAAAAAAATTTAACCATTTAACATTACTGTTAAATATTTTATTTCAAAATGTACAGAAATGTAAAATTCTGCAATGCTCTTAAGGGCTCAATATTTGAATCTGAATTGGTTAACAAATTAAAAGTACATATACTTTCATTCAGACTTCTTTGAGATCACTGTGTAAAAACTTTAGCATACTGAAAAGAAAAGTTGGAATTAATGCAATTAACTAGGAAAAAGAGCAAAATGTTATTCATTACCTCCCTTTAAAATTTTTTTAAAGTACTATAATAAGGAATTCTTACCTTTTAATTAGCATATTAAACATTCCAAGTAATTATCTACCCACCAGAGGCCTGATGCACGAAATTCGTGAACTTGGGGGGGCTTCAGCCTGGCCTGTGCCCTCTCACAGTCTAGGAGCTCTTGGGAAATGTCCAACTGATGGCTATGCCCACTCCCAGTGGGGAGTGAGCCTAAACCAGCCCATCAGACATCCTTAATGCTTCCGTGGAGGCGGGAGAGGCTCCTGCCACTGCCACTCTGCTTGCCTGCAGGGAGCCCGGCTTCTGGCTGAGTGGTGCTCCTTCTATGGGAGCGCACTGATCACAAGGGGGGCAGCTCCTGTGTTAAGCATCTGCCCCCTAGTGGTCAGTGCACATCACAGTGACCAGTTGTTCCATTGTTTGGTCAATTTGCATATTAGCCTTTTATTAGAGAGACTATTATAAGATAATTTATTTTTTTTTTAAATAAACCAAGAAATCAAGTGTCTAATATAGTAAGTGTTGTCTATTCAACCAATCAAAGCAGAATTGCTAATGGTATGCTAAGGCTTCTTAACCACTTGCTATGACCATCAGGGGGCAGTAGTCGACAGGTAGGTTAACTTGCTGCTTGGGTCCAGCCTACTGGGACTGAGTATGAGGGGCTAGACATGCCCTGGAGCCCTCCCACAGTCCCTCCTTGGCTGGCCAAACCTCCCATATCCCTCCCTGGCCTGGCGGTGCCCTCTCGCAACCTGAGACCCCCTCGGGAGATGTCGGAGAGCTGGTTCCCACAGGCCAGGCCGAGTGACCCACAGGTGCACCAATTCGTGTACTGGGCCTCTAGTTTTAATATAATTTCAGCATGTGCTCTTTAGCTTGTTTTTACTTAAAAAATAAAATAAAATTCACCATATACATAAAGAAGACAGAACTCATCTCTAGGAACTATTGGGTATATGTTAAGTCTTGAAAAAATACACAGAAAATCCAACTGCTAACTCAATTACAATACCAAAGGCATTAAACTATGGCAGGTAAAAATTCCAAATAACAAAGTGCAAATGTAAATTCAAAATGAAATAAAGACCATTCCTAAAATGGGAATTTTACTAATGATATAATTTTACACAATACAACTGGGTCTTTAAAAATTATTAGCATGAAAATTTACCTTCATTTATTTTGGATATGTCCACATTAGAATTATTAAGTTGCAGTGTAGCTTGCAAGGCAGGAAGCAACTGTCTAAGAAGATTTGGATCCTGAAGTAATGGAGGTATTGGTGATTGTGGAACAGGAGAAACAGGGATTGCTGAAGCAGATGTTGGAGGTGCGGAGGTGGGATTCAGTCCAGAAGACGACGTGGAAGGAGTTGTGCAAGAATGTGATACAGATTTGTCTCCTGATGTAGATTCTAAATAAACAGGAGAAAATAAGGCTGAAAGAATTACTTGAATAGAGGAAATGAAACCGATATCAAATAACTTACATGTGCCAGGTTTCATTGGTGAAAAAAAATCAAGAGATTATATAGCTTGCTTGAAGTCATGAAACCTTGGTAAAGCAATGATTCAACCATATTCATATCTGATTCTAAAAGTACCACACTGTTTATTAGTAATGCTGTCCGAAATACTTTTGTATATTAACTACATATTCATGGAACCTTCCATTAGGATAAAGGGACAATATAATCCTCTAGGACTAAATGTTACATGTCTGAAAATAATTAAAGATGAAAATATCTATGAACAACCTACCTAAATATAACAATGGTCTTAATACAAATCAGGACAGGTACTATGGTGAACAACCCCAGAATGGGCTAAGATTATGATAAAGAACACAACTTGTGGCTTGTCTTGCCAGATATAAAAACTTACATTTTTTAAACAAAACCAAATTAAGGTTAATTTAAACTTCTGTATGTATATTTAAGTATTTAAAAATAGAGAAAATATAAGGATATATTTGACAACAGGATGCAGAAATTTACAAAAAGCAAAAACAATTACATAAAAAGTATTAGTAACCAAAATATTTTAAGGAACTACTATAGATCAAAAAGGACAAAGTACACAATATAAAATCAAACAAAAGACACAAAATGACATTTCACAGCTTTATTTAAAAAAACTGCAAAAGATGCTACACTTCATTGATAATCAGGAAAATGAAAATTAAAAACAGCAGGTATCTTTTTATGTTCATCAGGTTGACAAAAATGTAAAAGCCTGACAAACGTTGACAAAGAGTAACAGAACACTTCACATTTCTGGTGGAGACTAAACTGACATAACCATATTGAAAAATAACAATTAGGCATTATCTAGAAAAAAAGAGCTGTACACACACTTTGTGACCCACCAACCCCTCACAGATACATATACACCTTAGTTTAGAAACTACATAAACCAGGAGAAACATTTCAGCAAATTTTATAGATATAGATATATTATTTATTTCAAAGAGAAAAGGAAAGGGAGAGATAGAAACCTCATTGATAAGCTGCATGCCATGGAGCCTGCATATATCCTGATTGGGAATCGAACTGTGTGACCTCCTGGTTCATAGGTCAATACTCAACCACTGAGCCATGCAGGCTGGGCACATTCAACAATTTTTATCACAGTGATATGTTTGTTTTATTTCATCTTTTAAATATATTTTTATTTATTTCAGAGAGGAAGGGAGAGGGAAAGATAGAAACATCAACAATCAGAGAGAATCATTGATGGGCTGCCTTCTGCACACCCCCAACTGGGGATCGAGCCCATAACCCAGGCATGCGCCCTTGACCGGAAATGAATCTGGAACCCTTCAGTCCACAGTCCAACGCTCTATCCACTGAACCAAACCAGCTAGTACTGTTTGTTTTATTTTAGTACAAAACTAGAAACACATGTCCACCATCAGGAAAATGAACACAAACTGGTATTTTCATGGAATTTTACTAATACCGTGACTTTCATGGACAAAAAAGAGCATTAGAAACAGAGACCTTATTATGGGTAACAACATTAAGACTGGACTATTCAAGATGTTCATATATAGTCTCTGACAATACTGGTCTAAAAACTAAACATGAAAATTTACATTCCTTTTCACTATCATCATTGGTCATACACACTCAGGTTAGGGCATGATCCAATGTGTTTTGCCCTACCATCACAGTGTTCCCACCTGGTTGAAATTAATGTCTGACAACGTGAAGGACCAGATCTACAAACTGGCCAAGAAAGGCCTGACTCCCTCAGAAATCAGTGTGATCCTGAGAAACTTACAAATCAGGACCACACCGATTTCTGAGGGAATCAGGCCTTTCTTGGCCAGACATTGCACAAGTACATTTTGTGACAGGTAATAAGATCCAGGAAATTCTTAAGTCCAAAGGACTTGTTCCTAATCTTCCTGAGGATCTCAACCATTTAATTAAGAAAGCTGCTGTTGTTGGAAAACATCTTGAGAGGAATAGAAAGGATAAGGATGCTAAATTCCACCTGACTCTGAGAACAGTAGTTACTGTATTGTAAGTCCAAATGAGTCTTCCTCCTAATTGGAAATATGAGTCATTCACAACTGCTACTCTGATTGCATAAAATGTCTATGTACTCAAGCAATAAAATCACTCTTTAATTAGGAAACAAACTGGTAAAGCATTTTTTAATTTCCCATGCATACACATTTCTTAAAAATTTAAGCTCACATTTCTATTATATTACCGATTTAAGACTGCTACTATGATATATGTGTTTCAGGCACACTGTGTTTGAATGTTTACACTGCTACCAGTAACTAAATCTTCATTTCAAATTCTAGGAACTAATTTTTTTCTCTTCCTAGCTCCAAAAAAAACCCCAAAAAACTAAACAGGTTATTTTAACAAGCTTATTGAAAATGGACTCCTCTACCAGCCTTTTTATGATGCTACTGTAATGGTTAAAAGAACTAGGAGCAATAGCTCTCTAAAATATAAACCTCAGGATGTACTGTTCAGTTATGATCAAGATAGAAGGTATAAGACATTTTTATTTATTTATTTTTTAAATATATTTTATTGATTTTTTTACAGAGAGGAGGAGAGAGGGATAGAGAGTTAGAAACATCGATGAGAGAGAATCATCGATCAGCTGCCTCTTGCACACCCCCTACTGGGGATGTGCCCGCAACCAAGGTACATGCCCTTGACCGGAATCGAACCTGGGACCTTTCAGTCCACAGACCGACGTTCTATTCACTGAGCCAAACCGGTTTTGGCGTATAAGACATTTTAATTTTTGAAGAGACTTGTGCATATTGAAAGTAAATTAATTAGAAGGTGGCTGGCGAGGTGGGACTAGGTGAGTGGACAAGCCCTGGAGCCAACCTCTCACAGTCACTCCCTGACCATCCACACCTGGGGCATCGCTGGGACTCGAGAAGGGAGTCTGTAGAGTGAGCAGTGTCCCTCCACAGGTGGGTCCCTCGGCCTGGCTTGCAGGGATCGGGCCCAAACTGGCAGTCTGACATCCCGAAGGGTTCTGGAGTGCAAGAGGGTGCACTGGAAAGTTGCTATTGCTTGGCAGCTCCTGCATTGAGTGTCTGCTCCCTGGTGGTCAGTGCACATCAAAGCTACTGGCCAGTCGGTCACTTAGGCTCTTATATATATAATGTTTGGAACAAAACAAGCTCTATATGTTAACTTCCTTTACTTCCTGCACAAATTAGTAACCACATCCCTCTGAAATGATCCTTACTCTTATTATTTCTACTGTGATTTTCTTTTGCTTTCAGTGACAGGAGTTGGAGAAGGTGTAAGTTGTTTTCAAATTTATTTTGCTGCTGCTAAATCTAGCCACAGATTTGAAAAATTAACAAAAGCTTAAAAATTCTTCACCATTGTTCTTTAATCCAAAATAGTAGAAAAATACATATCACACCATGCAAAATTAAGTAACAAAAAAATAAATATCCTTTATTTCTAATTTTAATATTTATTTACTCTTAGGATAGATACCTTTTACTATTTTTTGAGAAAAGACTATTGATAAACTAGAGGCCTGATGCACAAAATTCATGCAAAAGTAGGCCTTCCTTCCCCCAGCATTGGCTTCCCTCTGGTACCTGGGACCAGGGCTTTCCTCCAACCTCTGATAGGCACCCACCACTCTCCGCACAGTCCTGGCTTCATCGGGAAGGACGTCTAGTCTAATTAGCATATTATGCTTTTATTATTATAGATAATATGGAACCCAGTTATAGGATCCTTGAGCAAATGACATGTCTAAAGGCAAGGATATCTCTATTAAAAAGTTTTAATGAATGAATAATCATCCCTCCCATTAGATACAAACTATGGAACCAGCAAGTAACTATGTGAATAATAGCATCTTCTAAGAACCAGCTTGAAGTTATTGCATAGGTCTGCTTCTGTGGCCACTCCATTTTCAAAGTTATTTATGCTAATAAATTATAAGAAACTTGTTAATGAAGATCATTAAACTCTTCTAACTCTGGCACTTATGTGACCAAAAAAAAGAACAAAAGCCCTTGTTTCCTGCCTATTTTGTCATTTTATAAATCTGGAAGGGAGGGTGAAGGTAGGCCCAGTTTATAGAATGGACAAGGAGTACCAACTGACAAAAATCAGTTTTAGATATTTCAGAACATCAGAGTTTGTTTCTTTATTATATGGTTGTCCAATATGTTCCCCTAACAGATATACATCTGAAAGGTAGTATCTGACCTCTGTCTTGTTTCACCCTACCCAACACAATAATTATTCTCTAAAAAATTGTAGTTTCAAAACTTTTTCACACTTGTTTCTTCAAGCAAAGGTAGATTTTGATTTATCTTTTTCTCAAGAGACACACTGACTTTAAAGGAATCTAAATTTATTGCTGTTTCATTTAATTAGATGCAAATACATATAACACACTTTCTCCAAATAAGTTTTTTAAATCATGACCAGTGTGCAGGTGTTTGCCCCAATCCTCAACCCACTCATTACCATTCTTAGTTATTTCTCCCTTTACAACAAATATTTACTGCTTACATTTGTCAAGCATTTTGGATAGGGATAGATCAGTAGTTAAGAAAGATCCTGCTCTGGTATTATTTCATACAGCTTATCTACCCTATTAGCACTTAAGATCAAGAGACCACTTTTATTTGAACCATCAACCTCTTCATATAAATTGTTAAGGAAAATCCAAACAAGAAAATCACTACATTAATAAGAAGAGTCAATAGAAAGCTTAATTTAAATAACCATGTATCCACTGAGGGAAATTCTTTTTTCCCCTCAAATTAATAGGTGCTTCACAAATTTAGACGAAGTGAAAAGCTATCTAAAAAAATCCAATTTCTTATTTAAGGAAACAATATTGTCTTCAGTTCACATGCAAGGAGAAGTACTTGGAAAGACTATACAATTTTCCCTATATTTTCCCCAATTCCCCAATTCCAAGGTAATTGAATTTTTTCCTATAAGTTCAATAAAATTATTAAATTTCAGAAGTCTAAGTTAATATAGACTTTATGGGTCTCTCATTATGGTTTTATGAAAACAACATGAATTTGAGAAGCTGCCACTAACACTATGTGTTCATATTGTGGCAATATTCAGGCTTTTCATATCTAATAAGAGAAAACATCTCCCTCAAGATGTTGTTTTAAGGAATAAATTAAAATGTATATAAATTACCTCGCACCAAATGTGGTACATTGTTAATTTTTAATTGTTAGGTTGTCGAAATGATACTTGAATCATATATAGATAGAAAGTGAACAAAGTACAAATATAGTAAAACATAACGTCTAACCCTAAAAAGGACACAGTCTAATTGAAGGAACTAAAATTATGTGATAAATGCTACAATAAACAAAACTACAAAGTGTTTGTGAAACACAGATTGGGAGAAGTTAACTAATGCTGAGAATCAAAGGACATTAGAGCTAGCTCTTAAAAGGTACTGAGTTCAACAGAATGAGAATAAAAGAAATATGTCTTTCTTTTCAGCAAAGGCTCAATACACAAAAGAATATAACATGACATAAGAAATGTACAAATTTGCAACAGATAAAATATAGAAAATATAGCCGAGACCAGTTTGGCTCAATGGATAGAGCGTCGGCTTGGGGACTGAAGGGACCCGGGTTCGATTCTGGTCAAGGGCATGTACCTTGGTTGCGGGCATATCCCCAGTAGGGGGTGTGCAAAAGGCAGCTGATCGATGACTCTCTCTCATCGATGTTTCTAGCTCTCTATCTCTCTCCCTTCCTCTCTATAGAAAATCAATAAAATATTAAAAAAAATATATATAGGAAATATAAAAGTGGGCTGTTGGAGGTTAAGCTAGTAATACAGACTGCAACTATATTGTTAAGTACTACTTGTTTTAACCTTACTATGAAGTTATGAACTTTATCCTTTAGATAATGGGAAATTGTTAGAAATTTGAAACAAGAAAGTAATACAACCCAAACTAAAAGTGGACAAACTGGGTAAAAGTAAGCAGAGCAGAAATCAGGTTAGTTCAAAAGGGATGATCCGAGTTTCAATAATGGCAGTTGCATAAACAAGAAGAATATATGCAAATAAGATATAGGAGGAAGAATCCAAGATTTGTTGATGGATAGGTAGGAGGAGCTGGGCAAGAAATGTTGAAGAACAAGGAATAATTGGGGGGAAGTATCGTCACTTACAGAGAACCTAAGAATAAATTGTGGGAAAAGAGAGGAATTTGGGATACACTGTATTCTGAGACATAACAAATACCAAGTGCTTATAGAAGAAAAGCATTAATGTGAGATAAGAATGGTTGCCCAACAAAAGAGAATATATGTGAAGCAAGCAAACACACACACACTGAATGCTACTGTTATTTAAGAGGCACGATGATAACAGAAAAAGGAAATTAAGAGTACCAGTATCCCAGAAGACAGGAAAGAAAGGAATTTCAAAGGGAGGTAAAAGCTAAAAAGTATTAAAATGAACAAGAGGTAGCCCTGGATGGTGTGGCTCAGGTGGTTGGAGCTTTGTCCTATGCACTGAAAAGTGTGGGTTTGATTTCCAGTCAAGGCAGGTCGGAGGCAACTGATTGATGTGTCTCTTTTACATCAATGCCCCCCCCCCCGCCCCTCTCAAAAATCAATAAAAAATATCTCCTTGGGTGGAGATTAAAACAAACAAACAAACAAACAAACAAACAAACAGTATGGAAGGTAAAATGAGACCAACATTTTAAGAACTGAAAAACTGTAACATCCATTAGAAAGTGAATTCAGTTTTCATCTTCCCAGAATTCTCTCAGTATATTTAATTCTGCATCAGGATAAATATCACTTGCACACCTACCCTTGGCTCTCAAGTTGGATTTTAGAAGGGAAAACGATTATGCATGGCGTAGGAGTCAGGGAGAAACCAGCTCAGATGTGGCCTAAGGTCCATGTGTGGCTGGACCTCACCTGCTGAACTGTCAAGACATTTAGAAGTTACTTGACAATTATTAATACTAATCAGCTAATTCACCTCCAATGGGTCTACCCACAATTAATTATTGCCTTTTCATTTCTTTATTTTGTTTTTTTAAGTGAAAGAGAGAGGGGGACGAGTGAAGGGGTAAGGAATGAGTGGAAGAGAGAGAAGAACATCAGTGTGAAAGAGTCACGTCAATTGGTTGCCTGACTCCTACACGATAAGGCCAGGGATAGAACTTGTAACTGAAGTACATGCTCTTAAGAGAATTGAACCACTGACCCTTTGGTGTGAGGGCCGATGCTCTAACCATTGAGAAACACCAGCCAAGGCTATTTCCTTAAGTTTCTTAAAACTTACTATATAGCCTAAGTTTAGCACTGTGAGTAGTTAGGCAACTACGCCCTGCTTTTGTTTTTGTGTCACCTTCCAAGTAATAGTCACTTTTTTGAACATGGTATGGCTTCAGCATAAAGTTGGATAAACACAGTTTGGGTTGCAAAGTTTAGCGTATTCTCTTCAAACAATATAACTCCTTATCTTGTGGCCCATGACTCAATTTTCTAATTCACAAACTGAAATCAATAGCTGATATTGTATAAAAATGGCAAGTTTTAAAACTTGTCTCTATTCATATTTAAATTTTAATTAATAGAAAATTGGAATAATATGAACAATAAAGATTAAAAAAAAAAAAAGAAAATTGGGACAATGTATAAACTAACTCATCAAGACAATTAGCACTAAAAAAATTACACAAATATGAAGGGACAGTCACTTGGCTTTGATAAGTTATTTAAACAATTACTAAGAATTATAAATTAAGTACTGGACTTACAAGTATAAATGACAAAAAAAAAACAATTATGAGGCTTCATAATTAAAAATTAAAAGAAAAAACTAATATGGCTAACTCTAGACCTATAAATCTATGCAGTAACATTCAAAAAGACTTAAGAGTTTATAATTAAGTCTTATTTAAGCTAATGGAAATAATGTAATATAATCAGAAATTCAGAAACTATATAGTTCAACGTGCAGCACATCTAGTAATAATGGCATACCTTTTCTTTCTGTTTTCTGTGCAGGGACAGAAGATGTGGGTGTAGGCAGTTTTGATAAAGTAGATGCTCCATTAGCATCAAATGATTTCTTTGGCTGGTGATCAGACTGTAGCATAAATTGACTAGAAGGAACAGTGCTTGGGGTAGCAGTTGGATGAACCACTGGTTTGATGGGGTGCTGTACTGGCGTAGAACTACTGTGAGTCTCTGCTCTTGGCAGTCTGTAGTCTCTGTCATTGTGTCTGCTTGTTTGAGACAAAATATTCTGTGGGAGCAAACTACTGGCATCACTGGAATGCTTGTCTTCCACTTTAGTTCACAGTTCGAAAAAAGAGATGTTGGAATGACGGTGATGGAAGGGGGAAGAAAAAAGATTATGTTAGAATCCTGTCTTGAACATCAGCTAATTTAGCAATATACTTGTACTTTTAATAAAACTGCAAGCCCAGTTAATGTCTGCAGTTTTAGCATATGTCTAAAAGCTGAAAAAAAATTTAGCTCAACTATAAATACTAATCTATACTCAAGATTTCAAGTGGGCAACAACTCTTTGGGTATTCTTTAGAACCACAGTTGTTCAAACAAAACGTTAAAAATACTCTGGTAAAATAATTTTTAAAAATTTTGATAATTAAAAAAGTAAATAGTCCAGTCTTTTAAAATATAGACCTTTGGGTCTAATAATTAACTGAATTGTCCACATGATTAAACAAAAAGGCTATTAGCTTTAGTAGCCTGATCTTTCTGAACACTGAACTAACTAATTTGTGGGCTCTAAAGTAGTTTGTGCTAGGGCTTAAATGACCTGTTTTGTAATGATCGAATTAACAATGAACATATTTTATTAATGTAAACAAATACCAGAAGTAGTTATAAAATCAAGTGATAGATAATGCTATCTGAAAATAGAAATCCTACATCCACAGCATAGTAAAAAAAAAAAAAACCCAAAAAACCCACTTGCTATTATTACTTTCAAAACAAATCCTTTTCCAATTTAAAGCCACAAAAATATTTTAAATTTAGAAGTACTTTTGCTTCCACAAAGAGTACAAAAAGAAGGAAAAAAATCAACAATCATGATAAAACTTTGTATTTATCAAAAAACCTGTAGCCTACATTACAACAGTCTTATCAGTAATTAAAGAATTAAAACAGTATGTTTTACTATGTTTCCAAGTAGAGAAACATTTTAAGATGTAAGCACATTCTATATGATAATAAAATTATCAGAGGATGCCCTCCCTGTTGAATACTGTATTCTTTTTTCCAATTCACAGTTCCTCCAAGTCTAGAGATAGGACAGCACAAAGGAGGAAGTATGCTGAAACTACAAGCCAGTTTTCAACTCATCAGTGCACAACTCCTACATGTTGAACCATAAGAGAAGGTACTGCCAAAAAACTTCAATCTATCAACTTGAATGCATATAAAATTTTAAAGTTTTATTCTAAAGTGTCCTCCTGAAAAGACTACTACTACAATAGAAACTTTCAGAGACAGAATAACAGAAATAATACCATGCCCAATTCCCACCAACTCTGTCACTTGATTACCTAAAACTTATTTCATAGACCAAGAAAAATTCTTTTTAGTTCCATATGATTGTAAAAGTCAAAGTAAATACATTCAGTTGAAAATTACAGATGATATTTTCTTCTAACATTTTTAAGCTTTGGGAAGAAAAAAAATACCCCAGCAGCAGGATTACAGGAACTGAGAAAGATACAGCTGCAACAGTTTTCTATTACAACTCTACAGAAGAGTTAAAGCTGGGACTCTACTTTCTAATCCCCACAACAAGGATATTCAACAAATTTCGGAAGACATTTTTGGTTGTCACAATTGAGGAAAAGAGATGTGTATGTAGAGGCCAGGTATGATGCTCTACAACCTACAATGCACACAGGACAGCATCCCACAACAAAGAACTACCTGACTCTAAATATCCTTGGTGTTAACTGTTGAGAAACCTCAAATTAAGGTACCTCTAACTATCCAACAATCATTTTATAATGCACAATCACAATTAAAGTTGACAAAAATAATCCAATAGCAGTAATATCAAATTAAAAAGTTTATCCATATGATTTTCAATGCCAAGTTTGGATAACATTTACTACATTGCAAACAAACAAACAAAAAAACTGCTCTAAAATCTATTTTTCCATACATACACACATACTTCTTTTATTGGCAGTTGGCATTACAAAGCTTTAAGCCTTATCCTACATGAACGCTAAAATACTGGTCAGATGTGAAAACTCTGTCAACATTTTCTAGGTAGAGAAAGTTAAACACTTAAATGTCTTAGTGACTTTATTACGACAACACACCAAGTACAGCTCTGTTGACCAACTGGAGAAGAAATAAAAAGCAACCATACAGCCAAGGCCCTTTCACAAACATTATTTAAAATTCAAAAAGTATGATACAGACTATATTTCAACACCAACACAGACTCACTGATCATTTGCACTTCTAGAAAATTAGCTAAGAAAGTAATCAGATAAGCGAGCAAAGATATTTAGCATTGTTTACAATAGAAAGAGGCAAAACCACCTAAATATCCATATATAAAGATTATTTATAAATGAGGATACATCCAAAAATAAGAGTATCATGCCGTCTATATACCAAACATAAAATTATAAACTGATAGGGAAACATTTCTTTGAAATATTATTGAAAATAAAGATTTTAAAAAGGAACATATAATTTCATTTTTGGTGGAAAAGATATATGTAGTACTCATTTCTTTGCAGACAGAAAAGAAGTCTATGTCCCTAAATGTCTCTAGATCATGGGATTAACACAACAGATATGATTTTCTTAAATCATTAAAAAGAGAAAAAAATGTTTTTTCACTTCCATCAATATTTCTATTAGTTCTCAAATTACACCCTTTCACTTCTACCAATATTTCTATCAGTTCTCAAATACCCCTTCACTTACTCAACCCCAGTGGTTCTCAAGCCCCACTGGGGGGAGCAACTTAATTTTTAAGGGGGTAATTCAGGAATGAGTTATTAGCAGTGAATTTTTTGTATTTCTTATGGTTCTAGGGGCCTCATATATTGTGACATATTTAAGTATTTCGGTTCTCTATTATATATTTTGAATCTTTATTTGCTATTTTTCATATCATATTATTACTTTTCTAACAATTTCTTACTGATTTCTTCCTCAGTACTTTAACTCAACTGTCCTTTTGTTCTTTTTTATCTTTCATGGATGCCAAGTTCTTTGGAATCTTGTTTGTTAGACAAAGTTAAGGGCTTTTTAGGCTTCCTCCATGTGAATAAGAGTTCACTTTTTGAATAGGAGTTATATGTTATAGGGGAGGCATCAGAATTTTAAGTAGGGCATGCCCCCCCTTCCCCCCCAAAAAAAGGTTGGGAACCACTGCTCTATCCTAATGGAGGAGGAATGACTTAAATAACAAGTTATTTTGGAAAGACTAAAGTAGACATACTAGGCTCTGATCCTTTTTCCTCTCTGGAGAAGCCTACCCCATTAATTTTTTTATAAGTTGCTATTTTTTTACACCCATTTGCCACTCTTCCTCAATACCCACCTACACCCCCACAACACAATTTGTTCAAGAAGCCCACAAGCTCGGAGCTATTGTAGTATTGTATTTGTTGTTGTTTTTTTAAACCTGGAGAGGAAAGCATTAATCTCACTTCTAATTGTTTGCCAAAAGACAGTCATTTAAGGTATTAAGTTTAATTGGACTAGATCCTAAGTCTTCCATCTCAAATTACCATTCTTAATTTCCTAACTTTAGTACTTTATTTATTGTTAAAAGACACAATTTTTACTAATTTTAGAGAGGGAGGGAGAGGGAGATAGAAAAATCATGATGAGAGAGAATCACTGATTGATCTCTCCTGCACGCCCCCTACTGGGATCGAGCCCATGACCCAGGCATGTGCCCTTGACCAGAATCAAACCCAGGCCCTTTCAATCTACACACTGGAACTCTAACCACTGAGCAAATCGGCTAGGGCTAGCTTTAATACTTTAAATCATTGTTTTCTAAGAATTAAGTACAATTTCATTATATAAAAAAATTAAATGTTCCAAGAAATATATCTTAAACATTTAGTCCCACAGAATTATGCTGTTTCATCTTATATAATTATTCCCATCAAAATATTAATATCCTCTGCTGAGACTAAATAGATTCCCTACTATTTTGTTTTGAATTATATGAAGAAAATTCAAATGCTTAAATCTAAGAATTCCTAGAACAAACCTGGAATTCCTCTCAAAATTTAAAAGTTTAATAAAGGGCCCAAAAACCCTCTCTGGCATTTCAATTTTATTCTAGATAAGAGAAGCCACTGGGAACATGATATGACTAGTAAAAGCTTCAAACTCAAACTTAAATTTGAAAAACAAAATTTTTTTAAAAATTTAAATTTGAGTTAAAAACAAATGTATGCAACTTATATTGTCCCACTTAAGACAAAATCTGACCCCCAAAGAACATTAGATTATGCATGGAAATGTTCTGCATGTTTATTTATAGTCATGCTGAAACCAATTCCAAAACAAGTTTTTCATCAACCGAGCAACAATAGGTATTTTGATGTCACTATCCGTGTGGGGGGCGCTGATTCAATTATTAAATTAAAGCCCAGGGAGTTCTGAAAGGGATTTCAGTGCCCAGTTTAACAGTATATAATTCAACGTGGGGTGTGAGAGTACATGGACAGGGGGAAGCTCCTGTTTTAAAAAGAAGTCAATCTACAAAATGAAGTTTTATTTTATTACTTTTTTTTTTTAACCAATTTAACTGCATTACAGCCATTAAGGATATTAATGAATATTTGTTTGTATTATTCCACTGCATACTTTCCCTTTTCAGGAAACAAAATGGTGATTAGGGAAACATATCCAACATAAAGGAAACCCTATATATTCCTATTTATTTTAGTTTAAATATGTAAATGTTTATGTATTTAGATCCATAGCATAAATGAACCACAGGAATGAAGTAAACATCATTACTATTTCAAAGAAAAAAATACTTACTTCCACTGGCAAATGCATTAGTGGCTGTTGCTTGCATCACCTCTCTTCTGTAATCCCTATCTTTTGGGAAGCTATTAACTGCCATCTTGTTTGCTTCTTTCTGTCTCTGTTCTCTAAAAATAAAAAAATAAACCCATAATAATTAAATCATATACAATAAGTCTACATATAACACTTCTGGCCAAATGTTCAACAAAATTATATATGTAAAATTAAATAACTGAATATAGTTTTATTATTATGTTACTGATGTGGCATATAGGATGCAGTAAACAAAACTAACATTTCCACTAGTGAAAATATTATACCAATTATTTATATAACATTAACCCTACAACCAAAACTCTGTAATATTAATTCTACATATATGAAGGAACATACTGTCCCACAAGAATTACAAAGATTTCCATTACAATTATATAAAAATGAATAAATGTGAATATAAAATTTTAAATTAAGTGCACCAAATGTTCACAAGGCCCCGGAGAACAGTTGCTTACTCTGTCCTGGTTTTTTTAAGGAAATCATGGCATACACAGATAATGGGCCAATCACTGCAATTATATAGGAGAATAAATATCACTATAAGAAACCTAAAACTTATAATGTTTAATGTTCTAAGATGTTAACTGATAGAATCAAGAATGAGAAATACTGTTCAATTAGATTAAGAGCTAAATACCTTTCAAGCCACTCTTTTGGTTTTTCCCATTGTGAAACTTCTGTTCGACAATTGTAGTAGTATTTTTTCCCAGAAGAGCTAATGTGCTCAGACCAGTCATCTGCAGAATCATAAGACTTAAAAATATTTTTAAAAATTAGAAAATGTTAATACTGTTTAATAACTTGATATGAAATATCAAGAATGTCAATGGTTTTCAAAGTATATATGGGAAAAGACTAATAAGATAAAGACAACCTGATCTAGGATGTAAATAAATACACACACACACACACACACACACACCCCTTAGAAGATCTTAGTTTATGAAAACCTTCAAAGATAACAATGGAAAACTCTATTAAATATGTTAAGCAAATTAATAAATGTAAAATTAAATAGATTAATAAATACTAATTTATTAGGGGCAGGAAGAAAAATGTTAACTTTACAACATCCTGACATTTGAAAAGCATTACAAAAGTTCCCCATTATCATAATTTTAATTGCTGGAATCCAGTCACATTGGTGATGGGGGGAAGGGGTTGGAGAACTAACTGAGCTGATGGCACATTAGCTGTAAACTCATAAGGCACAATAGTTATCATATACAGTCTGATAGAGAACGACCTGCTTATATTTTCTGTTATTTAGTGGAGGAAAAAGCACAAGATTTAAAAATAACAAATAGCTAATTAAAGGCAATGAATTTGTTTCATTTTCAAAACAAATGAGATGGGTCAAGTATTTATTAAACCTTGTCTCACATAAGCAGCATCACACATTTTTCCTATAACTAAAACTGGACTTTTGAACATTCTCGGTATCTTGCAGTTATTTTAAAGGCACTGTAAAATTAGAAGAAATTAGAAAAAACTGAAAGGCCAGTTTTTATGGAACCGATCTCAGAAAGTTTAAGTACCTGCAGCACTGGCCACAAGAAATCTGGTAGAATTCCAAGCACATTTCAGATGAATTTCTTAACTATTTTTTTTTTAAAGCTTTAAGTTTGAAATGAAATAATGTTATACTTTAATAGCTTATCCTTGTTCTGGGTTCACCATAGCATAGTGTGACACAATTTTAAAGCATGAAGAAAGGAACTTTTATGCCTTGCCAACTCAAGCTTTAATTTTACCAAGGAGGAAATAAATGGAGATAACTTATTAAGTTGTCCAAAGGTGCTAAAAACAATTAGTGGTAGAAAAAGGATCAAAATTCAGGTTTGCAGATTCCATTATTTCCACTAAATCAACACCAATTCTGGAAATGTCATAATAATTTTTAGGGTTGAATAAATACTGCAGATCCTTTTATTTGTTTATAATCTCAATTTTATGCCTCTAAATAATGAAGCTATTAGGAAATCTGCCTTGTGCCTCCACACCTCTAAAATGAGTGGAAAGTTAATGCTCAATCCCCCTACTTTGAAGAATCAGGTTACACCTCGCTGCAGGAATCACAGAAGGCAAAATTCAATTCTTCTACATCACCTACTACCTACCCCCTATAGCTAAATTATTAAGCATACTGAGCTGTTCTATGGATATAGCTGGAAATTTTTGGTTTGATTTACTTGGCAAGAGGTTATATGGGATTACTAATTTGATCTGAAGAAGTAGAAAGAGATCTGAGGCAAGTGAACCAGAGTAGATGAGAGAGTGATTTAGACCAGTGTTCTTCACAGTGATGGTTTGAAAACTGTTTCCTGTCCTGGGGAAGATAAGGAGTTTGCATCAGAATAATGTTTCCCTGGCCCAAAGTATTGCTTTAAGGAAAAAATAAAAACTAAAGTTTATTTAATGATAATTAACTTATATTCTGGCACAACTGCAGAACAGTTATAAGTTCAAAAACTAGAATCTTGAAAAGCATGTGTCTACGACACTCCATTGATTTTACCTATTAAATCTTAGGTTAGTACAAGTATGTGTTCCAGGGTACAGCATTCTTATCACATACCAGAAAACTTTAGCTTTCACCACCCCTCTTCCACCCTCAAAAAAGATCAAAGTTGGGGGAGAAAAATTAAGTAATGGAGTTATTTTTTAAATGCTAATGTGCAAAAAACAGCAGGTGTTCAACTCCCCCCCCCCCCACACACTTTATTTCTTTTCAGTTTTATTGAGGTATAACTAACAAATAAAATTGTAATTTATTTAAAGTATACATAGGGATGATGCGATATACATATACACTGTGGAAAGTGTTTTTCTGCACATCTAGTTAACACAATACTCATCTTTTTATATGTAAACGTTTAAGTTCTCTCTTAGCAATTTCAATTATACACTGCATTGTTATTAATAGTCATTTATACATTAGATACACAGGTATTGAATTTATAAAAAGAAAAATCTAAAATTAAAAACTAAGCAAACAAAAGGCCTGAAAACATACAAGTTTTCTAAATTAAGATTGATACAGTTGCCAACATATGCCCTAAAGCAGCAGTTCTGCAAGTATTGTCCAGGAACTGAAGGCCTCCCCGATCATTTCACAAGATCAAAACTATTTTAATAATAAAACTAAGATGACTGCTTTTCTCTTCATTCTACCATAAGAACAATGTGTTTTCTCAGACTGCTCAGATTTTTGTTCACAAAAGACTAAATGTAGATATGAAATTATAGGTCTCTTCTATTAAGTAGGCATTCAAAAGATGTTCAAAGTCTATTTTTTGTTTTAGACATTATCTATCATAAAATATATTATAAGCCACCCTGGCCAGTATTGCTCAGTTGGTTGGGTGTCATCCATGCATCCAGAAGTTGCTGGTTTGATTTTCAGTCAGGGCACATGCCCAGGATTGTGGGCTCAATTCCCAGTAGGGACATCTAGGAGTTTGCTTATCAACGATTCTCTCTCATCACTGATGTGTGTCTCTCTCTGCCTCTTCCTCTGTCCCTCTCTCAAAATCAATAAAAAGCCCTGGCCAGTGTGGTTAACTGATGAGAAATCAGCCACACACTGAAGGGTTGCAGGTTCAATCCCTGCCTATGGTCAATGCAATCAATCAATCAATCAATCTCTCTCCTGCCCTTTTACTCTCTAAAATCAATGGAAAGAAAATACCCTAAGGATTAACAAACAGAAATGTTTAAAAATGGCTACTCTACAAGACAAAACTAACACTGAACAGTTACTGAGCCACCACCTGCTCTCCAATTCAAAATGTCTTTTAGTACTCTTATATGAGAGTGTTGATTTTTCTCTACTTAAAAAAAGCATTTTCCTTTCTACTCACTTCAAACACATCCTTCTCCAAGTTAAACTATGGAAATGAAGTCAATTCTGGAATTACTTTATGAATTGCTAATAAAGAACAATTCACAAAATAACATCAAAGATGACACTCATTGTAACAAAGAATTTCATGGAGACCTGAGAGTTCTCTAATAATTTTTTTAATTAATTGGAATATCTTTAGGCAAGATTGGTAACAGAGAAGAGATCTTGAGAACTTCAAACTTAAAGTTCCACAATATGCAAAGGATAAGTTGAAAGATAATGCAATCCTCTAAGACTGAATTTAAAATGTTTCTCAACAAATCAAAATTGGTGAAGGATACAAGGAAGAGAAGATTTTAATTATAATATCTTTCAAATGGGAATTAAAAATGAAGAAATCCAGAGGCTTCTTTTTATAAAAATACAAATATGCATAGTTTATCTAAATAGTCTACATAATACCTGTAAGTCCTATCATGATTATGAAGGAGGCATTCGACAAGCTGTTCCTAAATGTTCAGTATGGGCTAGGTAGGCTCTGTGTTAGACATAATTAATGTTTACCATAGTACTTAGAAGGAAACTACATGTGAATCTTAATCTAATACTAAAAAATAAGGTCATTTCAATTTGACTTTCAATAGTTAACTTAGTAAATGTCACTATATAACCAAATATCTATGTAGTAATCTAAATAATAATTGTTACTTATTTTCAAAGATAGAATTAAAACCTAAAAACCTCAAAAACGAAAAATAACGTGTTTTTTAAAGAAGGTTAAATAATGTTCATCTATTTATTTATTCTTTCATTATGAAAATATTAGATGAAAGGTGACTTTATGTATTCATTAGTCAAAGACTTCCATTTGAAGAGATTTTTAAGACAAAGAAAGTCAATTTTTAAAAAACCTTCAGAAATGTTCAAAAGCCCTCTTTTCAGGTAACATTAAATTTACAGTTTTCAACTGATATATGTGTCATAATGGCTGGGTACATTATAATGTAAAAGACCACTACGTGGAGATTAATTATATACCAACAGTTAAAATTTACAGCAAGGGGAAACCCTGATTCTGAAAACACATAACATTAAATCCATTCTGGTAATGGTCTTCAGTTTCCACTCCTATAATGAAATTCCCTGACATCCTTTATGATTTGGGTCTTTCAAGACTATATGATGCCCATTATTTATCCTTTCACGTTTCACTATTAATTCATTTCTTGAAAATCAAAATAATCAGAATTTGTTTTCCTTGAATAAGTATTTTTTTTAAACCAAAACAATATTTATAGGGCCTGCCTTCTATCCTAATAGTAAATGCCCAAATCCGAATTGTCTATAATAATAGAAATTTAGAGGTGTTGCTTTGTAAATAAAGCCATTTTACACACACACACACACACACACACACACACACACACACACACGGCTATTCATTCTAAAATCCTGTGTGTCTCATTAAAAATAACCCATCACAAGCAATTTGATGATAACACCTAACAGTTTATCAAGCTCTTGACCCTGCCTTAATACCACCCTTCTATATTCTGTTCTGTGATACTAGGGTCGGAATAACACAAATTACATTCTATTTAGCCAGCTAGCCTCCTGTTAGATTCTGCTAATAGTAGGCATTAGAGAAAGACTAAAAGGGAGGACAAAGGAGAAGCCTAGTAGCCATAGTTCCAGTTTCCAGTTTTCTGCTATCTGCTCCAAACCTGAATTAGCTTCACCAAAACACTGAAAGGTACTATCACCAGCTCCTCCTTCTAAGCTATTCAGTTCTGGTAACCCCAACCTTTTCTTATTGTTCATCAGCCCAAAGGGATAATCACTATATATATATGTATTCAATGTCCCTTTTTGTTTTATTCAGTCCTTAGTATCTGCTTAATCAATCCTATATATAGAATTGTTATTAAATTATGCTAAACATAATAAGCATGACTTCTATTTTTCCAACTAGACCCTGATTAACACAAAATTTAAAACTATTCTACATTTATTTTTAGGAAATTATCATTGCTGTCTCAACTTTCTATAAAAATGTACTATCCACACTGTTTTAACTAGATAAAGACCCTTTTAGGGTCTTTCAATGCCAATAAAGGTATGATGATCACCCAGATAATCAAGACAAAACTGTTGGATTCAACCTTACACTTCTAAGCTTTCTTGTTGTTCTTTTCTATAATGTACTTTCCATGTAGCTATCTGATATGTTTTAAGCTGCAAATATGATGTGACTTCACCAGTTTTATCCTTCAATAGGTCTCCACTGCCTTTATATAAAATTCACATTCCTTGGCAAGATACATAACTCTCTGTTGACTGACATCCACTCATCTCTGTAACCTGAACTGTTTTCACTGTGCCATATTTTCAAAATCCTGTAGTTCTCCAAACATGCAAACTATTTCACACTTCTCTTGTAGGAGGTGTTCTTTTACATATTACACAAATTCCAGAACTCTTTTAACTGTTCAATCTATTGGGTAGCATTACATATACTTTAATACCCTCCTCATAATTCTGGGAGTCCATCCTCATCTTGAGGCTTCCTAAAGTAACATTAACATGCAATGTTTTATTTTTTTGGTTTCTACCACAGTCCTGAAAGTTCCTTTAACACGAGCCACTTTTTCCTAGTTCTATATAACTACAATCTAGGATATGCTTGGCAAATTAAAACCTTATTAAATTTTTGCTAAATAGCTCTACCAGTGTTGGAGGATGGATCCCTCTGTGTGAGATGTGCAGGAGGCAGCCAATCAATGATTCTCTCTCATCATTGATATTTCCATCTTTCTCTCCCTTTCTCTGTGAAATAAAAATTTATTTTAAAAAATTTTAATAAATGTATTAGAACTTTGAGAAAAGGGACTTTTAATTCACTACTGTCTAAAAGAGTGTATAACTACAGTAACAGTAGATCCTCAATACACATATAAGGAATGTATATATTACATGAGGCCTGGAGCACGAAATTCGTGCACAGTATGTGTGTGTGTGTGTGTCCATCCCTCAGCCCAACCTGCATCCTCTTCAATCTGGGACCACCTGAGGAATGTCCAACTGCCCGTTTAGGCCTGATCCTGGTAGGCAGTCAGACATCCCTCTCACAATACAGGACTGCTAGCTCTCAACTGCTAGCCTGCCGGCCTGCCTGATTGCCTGCCAGCCTGATCATGCCCTGACCACTCCCCTGCCTGCCTGATTGATGCTTAACTGCTCTCCTGCCAGCCAGACTGCCCCTAAATGCCCTCCCCTATAGGCCTGGTCACCCTCAAATGCTCTCCCCTGCAGGCCCTGTTGCCCTCAACTTCCCTCCTCTGCCGGCCTGGTCACCCCTAACTGCCCTCCCCCTTACAGGCTTGATTGCCCCCAATTGCCCTCCCTTGCAGGCCTGGTCCCTCCCAACTGTCCTCCTCTGCTGGCCATCTTGTGGCAGCCATCTTGTATTATATGTTGGAGTGATGGTCAATCTGCATATTACTCTTTTATTAGATAGTATGAAAAAGAGTGGCTCAAGTTAAACTACAGAAGTTTTACAATCTAAGGTTCTTTATATCTCAATGGTAAATTTTTGCTCTATAAAGGAATAGTGACAAATAATATGGTGTTCTTGGACTATCCTCAATTCTAATAAGGTTATCTCAGTCAGTAACCTTAGGAAAATATTAAGAAAAGGGTAACTTAGATGAAAAAAAAAAAAAAAAAAAGTTTTGTTTTTTTTTTAAAATATATTTTATTGATTTTTGTACAGAGAGGAAGGGAGAGAGAGAGTTAGAAACATCGATGAGAGAGATGTTTCGATCAGCTGCCTCTTGCACACCCCCTACTGGGGATATGCCCGCAACCAAGGTACATGCCCTTGACCAGAATCGAACCCGGGTCCCTTCAGTCCCCAAGCCGACGCTCTATTCATTGAGCCAAACCGGTTTCGGCTTTTTTTTTTTTTTTTAACAACATTAGACTTAGCAAGAGTTGGTGTTAAGGGGTTTTGCAATGAATTAAAAAACAAACAAAAAAGACCAAAATTGGGTGTGTTTATATACTTACTGCATCTGAAGTTTTGCTTGGATTATTGCTTGGATTAGAAGAATGTGAATTTGAACTATGAAGACTACTGTGGTTGTGTGAATTTTCTTGTGGAGAGTAACTGGTCCCTTAAAAAAAGAAAATTATAAGTTTTACTTCATATTTAATTTAAACTGGCTTCCAACATGTCATGTATCTTAATATATATCACTGTACTAGTAAGTATATCCCTAAGTCACTTTATATAAGATCAGGAATACATATGTATTCATGCTTTTTATTAATATATAAAGTATTTGTGAGCCTACTAAAATGTGGGTTAATCAGTATACACATACTACATGGCTAATATGGAACAGTCTATATAATAAAAGCCCAGTGATCCTTATGGCGGAACAACCAGAATGACCGATCAATATGATGCACACTGACCACCAGGGGGCAGACGCACAATGCAGAAGCTGACCCCTAGCGGTCAGCATGTTCCCAAAGCGGCGGTGTTACGGAACAAGTGAGAGTTTAGGAGCGAGGGGACATGGCTTGCGAGAGGGATCTAATACTTCCAGACTAAAGACCCCCCACTACCCTCCATCCTCTGCACAAATTTTGTGCATCAAACTTCTAGTGTTGTTATAATAAGATGAGCAAAACCTCATCCATATAATTTCTAACAACTTCTGGGTTTCTTAAAAATAAAAGTTTTATTAGGGAATGACAGAAACACAACATATATAGAGGAAAAGAGGTACAAATATTCAACCATACAGACCTGAAAATCACAACTATTCAATATGTTTTTGCAATTCTCAGTTTCTTAAGTAGCTTCACCTATTTTTCAACTAAAACAGTATCAAGTGTTTAAAAAGTTAAGTCTCTTGGAAGGTGCTTGCTTTTAAGATGATAAAAAATGTCAAGTTTTCTGGTAACAGGATCAACTCTACCTAAAAATGTTTAAATGTAACTCCTAAGTTTTATGAGTAATCTACACATCACAGAGATCATCAGAGATGATGTTTTTCTTTTCTTAAGAAAAGCTAAGGTATAAAAATCCAGACTTGCAAAAACATTAATGACACAAAAAGGTTTAACCATTAGTATTTCAACTCATTCCACATTATTTTATTTTTTTAGCATCAAGTTAAAAATAATTCAACGGAAGAGGGAAGAACAATTTAAATGGTCCAGAAATTAGTTAGCAGTAGGAACCAGTCATTATGAGTAGAAACGAGTAAGAACTCATTTAACTATTTCACAATCAACAGAAAAAACTAATAATATTTAAGAGTGAGCCGGGACAGACAGAAGATGATTATAAGGTTTTAGATATTAAAATAGAAATGGTCAGCAGATCTATGTAGAACTAGGAATTCAGAAGTGGAGCTGGAAGTCTCTTCCATTAGAAGTGAAAAGTAGTGGACTCTTAGCTTTGCCTTGCATATAATAAGCAAGCACTGGGCACTCAGACTGAATTAAAGAGTATGACAAGAGAAAAGACAATAGCCAACATTTAACCTCGGATAGGGGCCAGCTTAAAGCAGATCCAAAGACCCAATAAAGCCAGCGATATAATAAAATAAAAAAGAGGGGCCCTTGCCGGTTTGGCTAAATGGATAGAAAGTCAGCCTGCAGAGCAAGAGGTCTCGGGTTTGATTCTGGTCAAGAACACATGCCCCGAGTTGTGGGCTGGATTCCCAATAGGGGGCATGTAGGAGGCAGACAATGATTCTCTCTCATCATTGATGTTTCTAAATCTCTCTCTCCATCCCCTCCTTCTCTGAAATCAATAAAAATATATTTAAAAAGATACAAAAGAGGGTTACCTAGGTACTGAGCACAACTTAGGTGGTACAAAGAACAAATTCCCCAAAAGCCTGCATCTTGAGAGGCCTAATGGTTTCTTCACTTGTTTTTAATTTTATCTCGAACAGTATGTATTTAAGTAAAACACTAAACTATTAACAAAGTAGACTATAAATTCTTCAATAAATTGTGTGAATAAACAAAATCAAGAAGAAATTGGTCAAAAGTAAGGTTAGTGAGCAGAAAAGTTAACATAGCAAGCTTAAGACTGTTATATTTAAAAAGGGCTTGCTTGCAGAGCTTGCCCCTGACTGGCATGTGGAAACCTAGGTTTCAGGAGCATTCCCACAATAACTGTAAGAGCAGCTCACTGTGCCAATGATTTATGATGCACACCTGCTTTTCCCACCAAGAATTTTGTATGTGCTAGGCAGAGGTGCCTACATAATAAGTCAAGTCCAATGAAAGCCCCGGGCACTAAATTTCTAATAAGCTTCCCTGGTACACAACATTTTGCAAGTGTTGTCACAATTCACAGCTGGAGGAATGAAGTCTGTCCTTTGGTAACTCTACTGGTGAAGATTCTTGGAAGCTTTTATCTGGTTCCCTCCAGATTTTGCCCCACATGCCCTTTCCCTTTTATTATGTTCTCCATCCTTTTATGATAATAAATCATAGCTATGATAATGACTATATACTGGGTTCTGTGAGTCCACTTAGACAATCACTGAACTTGGGGGCAGTCAGAGGACCCTAACACAGTCAGTTACAAAGAAAATTATGCAGAACTATGCAGAAATTTATACTTTTTAGATGTACTCATACAAATTTTTAAAAATCAGGTTTATAGTTAAATACAAAAGAAAAAGAACTAGTAATATAGATTACTAGACTATCATACAGGTATACTTATTATAGTTGAGATTGTCATAAAAATTTCCATAAATATCTCAGCAATAAGGATAAGGGGGGAGGGAGAGGAAATGCCAATTTTATTGAGTGAAATAAATCCCAGAGTTATCCATTAAGAAGCCCTGCACATATTCTTGAATAAAACATTCTATGAAACACTTCAATCTATGAAATAAAGTCCAATTTACATGGCAGACAAATAAACAGACTTTTCTTGCACCTCGTCTCAGGGCCAAAATGAAAATACAACTAAATTGAAGATTAGTCACCTGGAATTACCAACTAAAGGCCAGCAAACACCAGGAGATAGGTAGGTCACCACACCCTGCCCTCCCATGTCCCAAAACAATCCAATTAAAAATGGGCAAAGAACTTGAATAGAAGAGGACAGATGGCCAAAAGATATATGAAAAGATGATCAATGTCACTAATCATCAGACAAATGCAAACTAAAACCATGAGATATCTCCTTACACCTGTCAGAATGGACTTTCATCACTAAATCAACAAACAATAAGTGTCGAAGATGTGGAGAAGAGGGAACCCTCATGCACTGTTAGTGGGAATGCAGATTGGTATAGCCACTGTGGAAAGCAATTACATTTCTGGGAATATATAAAAAAAATTCTCAAAACACTAATTTGAATGAATATATGCACTCCTATGTTTGTATAAGTGTTATTTATAATCACTAAGACTTGGAAGCAGCCAAGTGCAATGAGCAGATGAGTGGATAAAAAAGCTGCAGTGCATTTACACAATGGAATACTATGCCGCTGTAAAATATCAAGGATCTCTTACTCTTTGAGACAGAATGGATGGACCTAGAGAACATAATGCTAAGAGAAATAAGCTAATCAGAGAAATAAAAGTACCATATGATTTCACTTTTATGTGGAATCCAATGAACAAAATATACTAACAAAATACAAACAGACTCACTGACATGGAGAACAGACTGTCAGCTGTCAAAGAGGAGGGGGTGATAAAAGTTGAAGGCATTAAGTAAACAAACAAAACAAAAAACACCTCACAAACACAATAGTGGTGATGACCAGAGGGAAAGGTAGATGGGTAGAGGAAGAAGGCGGTATGGGGAGGAGGAGTTAAACAGCAATGGAAGTCTTGATGGGTTGGTGAACACACAATACAATATATAAATGATCTAGTATAGAATCGTACACCTGAAACATATAATTTTAGTAACCAGTCATTCCAATAAAATAAAAATAAAAAAAATGAAGGACCTCTACCACCACAAACCACTTTTCAAACAAATAAAAGTAGTTAACAGGTATGGCTGAATAAGGTTCAGCAGGGATCTCAAACTCAACTATATTAAAAAGTACAGACTTCAAGGTTAAATCTCAGAGGTTCTAATTCACAATAAATGGGATGGGATTCCAAAAACTGAATGTTTAATAAGCACTCTCAAGATGGTTTGGTATGGTATCTTAGCCACACTTTATTCTAAGTAATGCATTACTTTCCACTGTCTTTGGTCCTCCTCTCATCTCTCCAAATCCAGAGACCACACTTAAAATAAGGTGATTTCACAAAGAAAGCCCTGAAATGGGTATTTTGCCATAACATGTTATCCTGAAAAACTGAGTTCTGCAAAAGTATACACTAAAAATAAAGCCATATGGGAAAAAGAGGAGCAAATCACTCAAAATTATGCAAATATATTATAGCCAAAACACTAAACAAAAACTTGAGCAGCAGTATTGACAGGTTTGGCTCAGCAGTTAAAGCCCTCACACTAAAGGGTCAAGGGTTAGATTCCTGGTCAAGAACAGGTACCTGGGTTGCAGGTTAGATCCCTGCCCCCAATCAAGGGGTGTGCAGGAAGCACACTAACCATTTGTCATTCTCTTTCCTCCTTCCCTCCCCCTTCCTCTCCTTCAAAAAGTCAATGGGGAAAAAAAATCCTCCTTGGGTGAGGATTAAAAAAAAAATTGTTTTTCTTTCTTTAGGCACTTTGCCTATGCAGCAGCTGGTTGAGGCTTTTTTCTTTCTATTTGAAGGTTTAACTCTAATCCTGCTATTCTGATCCTCTGCTGAGGAAAAAAACTTCACATATAAACCAACACAACTTCAGTTTATATTGATACCATTCTCTAATTTACCAATTGTATATGAGCTAATGGTGGTAAAAAGAAAATGTTGTGGTAATCAGACTATGTCTCTTGGGATGGGCGGATGGATAAAATGATGCGTTCACAACAAGCTCGTATCTGACAGTCCCTTGTAGCTAAATTAATCCCAATGATAGCCTCTAGGCACGCATAGCTATGGAGCACTTACAATATGGCTACTCTAAGTTGAGATTTGCTGTATGTGCAAAATACAAACTAGATTCAAAAACTCAGTACAAAAAGCACATTAATATTTCATACTGATTATATGAACTATT